TGTTAAACAATATTTTAATCGATTACTAGAGTCTGCTATACTCTCGGAGAAAAAGATGTCATTTACTCAATTTTACGAATACGTAAAAAAAAAAGAAGAGGAAAACATCAATAACAACCAAGCTAATAATTCATTGCTTGAGGAGGACGATGAGATGAGGGTATTAGGCGACATCCCGAACTCGTTTCGTCAGCTAACAGATGATCATTTTCCATTGTTCATAACTTATGAGAAGTTCTCTCAAATGCTCGAAGGAACTTATGAAATTGATGTTAATAAGTTATGGAAGACAAAACAAGAATTCAATACAAAAAATATCTATGAAGATGAAGAATACAATCCTAAGTCCTCCTTTGTTGATACATCTGAAAAGTCGTGGGCTCACTTTATAACCTTTGAACTTTTCGTGAAAAAGTATTGGAACAATTTCGGTTATTATTATAGAAATAAATTAGATCCTGCTCTGGTTTATGCAGAATTTTCTATAATTAAAGTATGGAGTGAAAGTTTATGTTTATAAATAAAACATAATCATCTAGTATTTTAACATGCTTTTTTTAAGGGATCAAATCCTGAAGTTGAATGTTTATCAAGGGAGGAATACTTGGCCGTTACTACTAAAAAGTATCCCATATTTTATAACCGTGAAGAAATCTATAACCTGTTTGAACGATATGAAAACATGAAGAAACTTAATTCTGACTATGATTCAATAGACCGGTAAGATCTAGTAATTCGTTATTCTCTTAAATTCTTTAAAAAATTTTTAAATATTTTATTGTAGAACACGAGCTGTCTTGCGTTGTGCTAAAAGGGAGGTACTTGGTGGCCTACGAATCCATGAAGTATATATTGATGAATGTCAAGATAATCAAATTGTTGACTTTTCGCTTATTTTGAGGCTTTTTGACCGAGCAAACATTTTCTTGGCCGGAGATACCGCGCAATGCATTGCTCGAGGCTCCTCCTTTCGCTTCCAAAGTACGTTTGTCGTTTCTTTCCAGAATGATATCATTTATTTTATTTTATAAGCTTTAATAACAATAATATAGGCGTATTTTCCTTATTGTATCAATGGGAACTCTTTCGGTCCCAAATTAACCCAAATTGGAATAGTTCTTTAAAAGCAGAACGATTCGCACTAAATGTCAACTATCGTTCTCACAATGGAATTCTTGGGCTTGCTGCATCTGTTATTGACCTTATTCAATACTTTTTCCCTAATTCTATCGACAAATTGCCACGAGAACGTGGTGAAGTCGGTGGTCCACGGCCCATAATTTTTAAGGGATATCAAGATGCAGCTTCTGTTTTTAATTATTTCACCGTTGACGGACAATCAGGTGATACTATTGAATTCGGTGCAAATCAAGTCATTATCGTACGTGATGAGAAGGCCAAGAAACGATTAGAGAAATCTATTGGAAAAGTTGGCCTAATTTTAACAATTTTTGAGGCAAAAGGCATGGAGTTTAATGATGTTCTTTTATATGATTTTTTTACGGATTCGCCAGCAGGTCAAAAGGTATGATGTAATAATATTTGTTTTGAGTCACAATATACTTAGTACTTAAATTTGTACCATCATTTTTAGTGGCGGCTAATTCTTTCCGCAATAGAAGGGTATTCTGGAGGCATGCAAGATTTATCGTACGAAAGACATTATATTCTTTCTTCAGAGCTAAAACATCTCTATGTGGCAGTAACCAGAGCCCGAGAGCACATTTGGATATTCGATAGAGACTCTAGTTTAGGCGAGCCAGTCTGGAAATACTGGGATCACCACGGATTGATAAGAACAAAACATGATAGAGATGGGACATCTTTACCTAATTTGACTAAGAAAAGTAATTTACATGAATGGAATGAAATGGGGAGGCACTTTTTTGAGCGGCGTCAGTATAGACAGGTTAAGTTTCGTTTTTAATACTTTATAACACTAAATAAACTAATCTTATAATCTGATTGAAGGATTCTAATATTGCCTTTTAGGCTATTTTCTGCTTCGAAAAATGTAATAATATGGAAAGGCTCAAACTTGCGGGTGCATACCTCCTTAGACAGGTTGCTAGGGACTCTATACACGATTCTGATAATGATACTATAAGGTCGAATTTTATCAAAGCAGCAAAGAGTTTCAAAGAATGTTCTCGACCAATTCAAGCGGCTTTATGCTATCAGGTAAATCGTCTTTTTTAGTATTTAATGTGTTTATGGTTTGATAAGTATTGCTGAGAATATAAATTTGAAAAAAAATTCTAGGATATTGGAATGTACAAAGAGGCAGGTGATATTTATTATGAATCGAATATTTTTGAGTCTGCTGCAGATTGTTACT